ATCTCTGCCCGGCCACCCTTAACAAACCAATAATTCACACCATCCTCCTCACCAGGGCGCGGCTCTCTCGTCGTATGGCTCACAGCACAACCATAAATATGCGGGAATTCCGCCAATAACCTTCTAGTAAGAGTCCGTTTTCCGACGCCGTTCGGTCCGCACATCACCAAAGGACGAAGTCTATGTGCGCGGACCAGATCGACCGCCTTGATCTTCGCATACTGACGGATCTGGCGCTGGATCAACTTGGCATGATCGAGCGAGGCGGTTACGAAGCTAGGCGGGCTGTGCCGATTAAGCGCGGCTACCTTTTCTTCGCATGTCACCGGAAGAGAATCCAGAATTGTCAGACGTGGGAGTCGATATAGAAGGAGCAGCCGCGAGGGGCTAAATAGGCGCACGTGAGGATCCATGGTTTCAGTAACAGCGGCTGAGGAAGCTGACGTGGCTGATGTCCAGGACCAGGCCGATGATGGCCGTCCACCAACGGGTGGGGTTCGAGAGCTACCATAATTTTTGGCGCCGTCACCAGCGCAGACAGAACGCCTTCCTGAACCTGATCTAGCGGTGGCGGAAGAAGGCGTTGACCCAACGGAGGCACGAGGTCTCATCATCTTGTCCCAGTCTTCCCGTACCCTTGCCGTTGCCTCTGCCGCGACAGACGCCGGTATTCCATTCTCTTCCTCTTCCGTCTCTGCCTTCTCGACCCTGTTATTCCAAGGAATGCTTGTATGCTTTCCGGCTCCCCCTCGACCCGCCATCGTCATTTCAATCCCCCCGGAAGCCCATTTTCGCGTGTGTTCCACCCCGTAAGATCGTATTGTACCATCACAACCCCCTCCGGCAGCCCCGGCATTGCTCCTACCCACACCCTTCCCGTCGCCGCCGCCGGCACCAGAGATTCCGTAAATTCCAGATTTTCCTCCGGCGGTCACGCAGCTGGCCGACGCGCTACGTGCCCCTGCGCTGCGGGCCCGCGCAATGCCGCCTCCAGGCGCGCCAGTTCCACCTAAGCCGCGGGTTGGCGAGGGTGGTTGCGGTCGCGAGGAAGCCATGACCACTGCGTCCGTACTGGCCGCACCTATCATGCGTTGGTGTTGGTGCGGCCGCTTGCCGAGGGTCCCCGGGGAGTGGCGGGAGATTTTGCTACCGCCAGCAGAGGCTTTTGGTGCTTTGGCCGGGTCGTTGTCCTGTTCTGCGGCAGTCGCTGCTGCCGATGCCTCGGCTTCATCCACTCCGTTCGATGCGATCGCTTCCAAGTCGGAAACGGTGACAAATGGGTTGCCCCTGACGACCACGTCTACAAGCATTGGAAGGCCGCTCAGTTTTTGGGCAAAGTGGTCCACCCGGTCAAGACGGTTGTAGGAGATGTCAAGTTGCCGGAGCCAAACATGGCCGCCCGTTCCAGAAGCATTGGTGCTAATAGAATCTGTATGACCTTCTGATCGTGCCGATAGCGAGCTGTGCGGCCTTTCGCTTAAGGACGCTTTCGTTGGAGAAACGATACCGTCCAGAGAGATGAGCTGATTATGGCTGCAGCGGAGAGTTTCAAGTCGAGTAAGTGGCTCAATACCGCGGAGCGTTGTCAGACGGTTATAGCGCTTGATAAAAATAAACAGGACTCGTTAGCCAAAGTCAAGTCGTTTGATTGCCCCGAACGGTACTTACTAAATCCAACCACGACAAATTCTTCCCACCAGTGTCCTCGTCTTCTGTCCCTTCCTCCAAACTACCAAAGACACCTTCCAGGCTCGAAACACAGTTCCACGCGGCCGAGAGATGAGTCAGAAAGGTCAATCCCTTTACGATTGGACCGAGATCCTGAATAAAGTTCTTATCAACGTTGACACGCCTTAAAAAGCGATGCGGACTCAGAGTGGGTGGGGGGTGGGAGATTCTGTTGCGCGAGAGATCCAAATGTTGGAGGTTAAAGAAGGGTGAACGAGGCGGAGGAAAGCCAGCTGAAGCAATGGTGGAAGCGATGACAATATTCATTGGATCGGTCGGGTCCGGCGGGGGAAAGCTAAAGTCAGTGAGGAGATTATTGGAGGCGTCGAGGTAGACAAGGTGGTGTAGATCGCGGAGATGGCTCAGGTCTGTATATGATGAGCAGTGCTGTCCAACGGGCTTACCAGTAAGCTTGTTTCCAGCCAAGCAAACAGTTTGCAGATGTGTGAACCAGGATATCCAGGATATATCTTGTAATCCCTTGTTCTGAATTGAAACCGTGGTTAAGAAAATGAACGATCCTTTCTATTGTCTTTACCTCTAAAGTAAGTTTAAGGAAAACACATTTTCCTGCCGAATTAGAAGACATCCCAATCTCTCCCAGGGCCCTTCGAATCTCTTCGTAGCCTAAAGGCAAGTTTTCTTTTCGCCTTTCTAAATCCGCAAGCTCCTGCTCCTCCTTCTTGCGCGCCTTCTCCTCCTCCGTATCCGCCGGAGGCTCAATGACGCCGTTTATGGCAGCTTTCGGATCCTCATCATCGACCGACCCCATGCTAGGTTGCACGACAGGCTCCTCACCTCCACTTGCTGTGGCCGTAGACATTATGGAATCAGAGGTGGGAGGACTGTTGGGCTTGCCGGTCACAGAGGGTCGTTGGTTTCCGGTGTTACTGCTGTCAGATATGGAGATGGTAGGGGTGGCGGGTGCAAGCGGCGGCTTGCCGGATCCGGCTGATCCACCCCCAGAGGTGATTGGAGCTTGCTTATCTGCAGCGATAATGCTTGGCTTACGAGCCGTCTGCATCTACTTCGAGCAGAGGGTAAGGCTTGTGCAGACGCTCTCTAAAATATCCAAGCTCTTCCTCGGCCGGCCTCCTCGCAAGGCCTCCTCGCAACCGATAGATATGGCCGCAAAGATTCACTCTTGGGCGCAGTGAAGGTTTTGAGACGGTTTGATTGTACTATTGATTCAGCTCACTGCAGCTGGAACGCTCCTCAATGATGCTACGCAGGCTATATCTTTTTCGAACGTAAATCTTTCGACTGACGTGAACCCACTAGAAACTAGAGGCTCTACAGCTTCCGTAACGTCGCTGACTTTGATGCGTCTGCAGCGCAGTTTTTGAGCCTTGCTGGAGCGGCGTGTGAAGCAGCCGTCCTCGAACACATGAGCGGGACTTTGACTTGTCAGCGTGTCAAGAATTGTCAGAATGCAAATGGCGAGGACCTGGACCATTGGAGCCAATGCATGTGCGATGGCAGGAATCTGTATGGCCTGATCGCCTGCATCGAAAAAAGAGTTATCGGACCACCCCCCCCCCCTTGCACCCCAGCTCGCTAACTTTCGCCAACGGCAAAATCCGGAGCCGCACCGTCCAGGAACCTTTAACTCGCAAACCCGCAGGCTCGTCTCCAGCATCGCATCCGCCATGGCCGCCGCAGTGAACGCCTCGATCGTGCATCCCTTCTTCCCCGTCGATGCTGAGCTCCCCAACTTCTCGCCGCAGAAGGTGCCCATGTCCACCATTCTTTCGCTGTTCTTCTCCGCTGTAGCCCTCGTCCTCCTCGCTTCGTGGGTCTTGTCGTCCCACCTCAAGCTCGGAACCCGGCTCGTCTTCATCTGGTTCGTGTGCTGCGGATTCATCCATGGTGTCGTTGAAGGATACTTTGGCTACAACCACATCTCGATCTCGACCCAGGATGGCTTCTTTGCCGACTTGTGGAAGGAATACGCTAAGAGCGACTCGCGGTACATGACCAAGGACCCCTTTGTCTGCGTCATGGAGAGCATGACCGCGGTGAGTTGAATTTTCTGTCGAAACATCTCGTGTTTCTGCTTCTTTCGTTATGCTCAAATAGCTGATGAATTACCATTGATGGCATCGGAATCATCTAGGCCCTCTGGTCCCCACTTTCATTCTACGCCTCCTACCTGATCCTTCGCCAGGATCCCGCTCGGCACTTGTTCCAGTTCCTCGTCTCGACCGGCCAGCTCTACGGCGACATTGCCTACTATTTGACTGCTGCTCACGAAGGCTTCAAGCACTCCCGCCCTGAGCCTCTGTACTTTGTCTTCTACTTTGGCATCCTCAACAGCTTCTGGATTGCGTTCCCCATTTTCATCATGTTCACAAGCGGCTACCAGATCGTCAAGTCCCTTCGCGTGGCCAATCTGGATGGCAAGAAGGCCAAGCCCGCCAAGAAGCTGCAGTAAAGGATGATTCCATGAACCGTCGAAAAGGTGGTTCGCTTGCTGTGGAACTTTGTACTTTGTTCATCTTTCGATTCCCATTGCTTTCAGCTTGGGTTATGCTGTGTCTTCATTCATATATCTTTGCTGATTACAGTGAGGTGCTTGCCTCCTCAACAAAAATGCTGTTGTACTCTTTCAACCTTTCTTAAAAAAGTACGGATAACAACGCCAAAGCAGCTTCTTATTCAGGCTTCGTTATGTCCTGCAAAGGGAGAATATGTAAAGAATGTCGATTGTAGTTTGCAAGATAAGTAACAAAAGTCTTCGAACAAAGCGCAACGACCAACAAGCACCGCCCGGCAACTTTACTGGACTCTGGTGTTCGAAAAGTTTGATGTGACCAACCCAACGGAAACCGGGCTGGCGATTTAAGTACGCGTGACGCATTTTCGTCTCCGTCCTCCAGACTGAAATTTGTGTCAGATGGGCGTCATCGTCTCTGTGCACTTTGCATTCTTGCCGCTTAATCTCGATTGCAAAGGATTCTGTGGAGTGCGTCAAACCAAGGCTGATTGCTGGAATAAAAATGGGAAAAAGTTCAACTTATTAGTTGGTGTGCGTTTTGGATCATGATGGTGGCCGGTTGATTTGGGTCATCACAGTGGAAGCATGACACAGAAAACTACTACTATACGATGGACGGAGCCAGTATCATCAGGGTTTAAGAGGGTCTAAAGTAATCATTAGAGACAGTTACAGCGGGTGAGAACGGATATGACCAATAACTGAGCGAAATGAGGTCCGTAAAGAGACAAAAAAATAACCAACAGCGATCCGATACAAGGCAACGACGTAAAAAAGGTCTTACCGAGGATCGAACTCGGGTTACAGGAATCAAAATCCTGGGTGCTACCGCTACACCATAAGACCGGGTGATGAGGGGAAGGCGAGGTCTTACCGAGGATCGAACTCGGGTTACAGGAATCAAAATCCTGGGTGCTACCGCTACACCATAAGACCATCTAATCCTTGTTGAAATCTGGAATGGCAAACTTTAATTATCTTTCTAAATTTCCATGAATTTAAAATTGTTTACAGTAATTATCCGCATTGATCCGCATATCCGCCTTTTCGGTGTTTCCTGCATTTGCGATTACTGATGAATTCCTTCTGATCACAACCTGACAAAGTTAGCGATGGATACGCACATGATTCGCGGAGGCCGATCCCATAATGTGGGAAGGAGCGAAGCATTCTCCGCTGCAGTGTTCAAAACGTGCATTGGAACATCTGATATCCATTCATGACCGAGATGAAACGCAAGCGCAAAGTCAAAGTTAGCTCAAAAGCAGTAAAATAGCGGACATTAAGTCTCTGGATTGATATCACGTCCGTGTCAAGGGGCGTAGCTGCCAACGGAAGTGGATGCCTCCCTCCTCTAGATCTACACGATAATGTGTTTTGGGATGGATTTGAAAGTATTTACGTTACACGGACTGATAGAATTGTCAGTCGCTACTTTGTTTTTGTTCGTTGCTCCGAAGAGCAAGTCGCTGTTGACAAGCTCAAAGCAACCATCTCGCCGGCATTGCAAGCGATTACTGGTCAAGACCAGAGCCATAGAACGATCGCATCTCTGATTGAGTCGAAGCTAGAGGAAACACGGCCCAAAGTTTACTCCGTTAAAAAAAATGGAACCCGCCACAAGCTCACTGCCGTCAGCACTTCCAGAACCAACACCATTGGGAACACTGAGCGGAAGGCCCCAAGTCGGTCCTGTCTTTTCAGGCAGCGGTAGCAGTGGCGCGTCAGCTGCTGTATCACATGGAGGACCGGAGCGATGGATGGATGCGCATTTGGTGTGTAGATATTGCTTGTTCTGCATCCGGTTGAGACTGCGAGGCTGCAAATTGTAGAGAAACAAACACCTTACTTACGTTTCTCTTGATACTTCTGATACTGGTACTTTTTCCTTCCGTCTCGTCCATGTGATTCTAGCAACACTGCATTGGATTCCTCTCCGACGTTCGAGACTTTGTCAAGGAACGTGCTGAGCTTGAGCGCGAGTTTGCACGAAAACTCGAATCTCTTGCACGGAGGCACGCCCATCGACGCGAGCGACGGTCTGGCGCCCCGCCACCGCCTCCTACGAGCCTGAGAGATTCGCCTGCCGGGCTCTCAGGAGGTTTGGGGACGGGGACGGTTCCTAGCGTTGCAGGAAGCACTTTCGGCACTTTGGCGTCAAGAGGAAGTGCAAGAGGTGTTGGAGAGAATGGAGAAGAAGGTGTAGGCGAGTTCGAAATATCACCAGCCGCAGAGGAGGAGTCGCATGTCATGGACGGGTTGGTGATAGTGCTTCTTCCCTTGTTTTTGAAACGCTTTTAACAATCGCGTTCAGTCTCTCGACCACCACTGAGCGCGCGTGGGGGGCCATTCTTTTAGGCACGGAGAATCGTGCGAGAGCACATCTTGCGTTAGCAAACTCGTTCTCGCAAAGTATTTCCGAACGCTTGAAGACTCTTGCGACAAAGCGTGAAGAAGGACGCAAGAAGGTATGGAAAGACGCATCGCATTTCTGCATATTGGTTTTCATACTATCATGAAACTCTTGAACGTTAACGTCAAAACAGCACCTGTTGTTTGGTCAAAAACTTGTTGTGGAACGGGATAAGTTTTACGTTGAGAAGGATCGGACGAAAAAAGATTACGACGAGGCATGCGACCAGGTGGAGAGTTTAAAGGCAAAGCATGACCGGACATCCGATTCGAAATCTAAAGAAAAACTCAAGAAGGCTTGGCAAGAGGAGACGAACGACCTACATAATGCAAAGGTTACCCTTTTGCTATTGAATCACCCTTATTCCATCCTTCTCGATTCCGGGCAGTAAGCTAATATTTTTCGGTGTAGAATCTATACGTTCTGGCGATCGATATGGCAAACGCCATCAAGAGAAAGTACTACGTGAACGATTTGCCGCAATTACTAAAGGTAAGAGCTCATGGCCATAACTCAAATCGCTAATCTTGATAAAAGGACATGCAAGCTCTTGCAGAAAGCACCATTCAAGGCCTTAAAAATATCTGGACCTCTTACGCCGACGAGGAGATTCAATTCCTTGAAGCCTGCAACCGCCACACCACCTCACTCGCTACAACCATTCAGATGGTGGACGCCCGCTGCGATGCCGACCCGCGCGGCCCGCAGTTCTGGTTCTCTCTCCGCCAGCAGCTTTCAGAAACGGCCGCCGCCTCCGCCACCGTCACCGCCGACGAGGCGACCAAGAGCCCACCGCCACCGGTCACGACGGACGACCTGGTGGCAGTGGCGCCGTCGCTTCCTTCATTACCGCAGCCCCCGGATTTCGTGTTCGTTCCGAGCATCATGTGGAGGGAGAAAGCTGAGATGTGCCGGGATGACAGCTCCAGGGTTTATCTGATCAATCGCCTCAAGATGCTTAGAAGGCAACTCGCAGCGTTGGATAAGGATATTGCGACACGAACAAGAGGGGTGGATGGCATGAAGGTCTTGATGGAGGCTTATACGAAAAATCCGAACCAAGGGGATCCGTTTGAGGTTAATGAGGTGGGAATGGCTCATCTTCGTTATGTTGACAATCGTAGAATATTCTGGAAATCACTCGGGAGCTTACGTTACTACAAAGCCAGAGGACAAAGCTTGAGACGATGATCGAATGTATTGTTTCCAACGTGGGAGGTAAATATTTCCTAAATCTATCCCCCTCTGAAAGACCCATCGTTTTGCAGACGAGCTGCCGACAGATAAATTCCATTCGTTTAAAACGGCCGCTTTCGCCATACCAACGAGCTGCGATCAATGTCGTCAGACCATATGGGGAGTGGCTAAAACCGGGTTGTGGTGTACAGAGTGGTATGTTTTGATTACATCTGTAAAGCCGCTCGTTTCACTAAATGATCTTGGGCAAACAGCGGTTTTAGCGCTCATATAAAATGCGAGCTTAAGATAGCACCGACATGTGCAGGGGTCCGAGTCGCACGATCAAAGCGGGCCAAAGCTCAACCGCAGCTGCGATCTAATACACCGACTATTTCTCGTCCCGGTACGATATTCTCCAAAAATTATCCTCCATGATAGCTCTTGTTTTTTTTGATCATCGTCATTCCAGTGTACATGTATCTTTTAGAACGGAATTAGTAATTCTCGCTAGTTCTGGAAGCCCTTTTCTTTTGTTGTTCCTCTCTAATGCCGATACCATTTCAGTTCATCTAGAGTCACCTCCCACGGTGGAAGCCACGGTCGGATCGCTTGCCGTGGTACTATACGAGTACAAGCCACCCAGTGATGCACCCGAGGACGAAATCGCGGTGACTGAGGGCGAGACGGTATCTGTGATCGAAGTTGGTAGGTTCATAGTTTGCAGCTTTAGTTTTTTTGCGTCCTAAACAGTCTTTTTTGTTTCCTAAAAGATGACGGAAGCGGTTGGACAAAGGTAATCCAACCATATCGATAAGTCGGTTTTTTAACTGAGCCCTGATATTTTAGGTTCTGGTTGGAGATCGATGCGGTTTGGTACCCACGGCTTACATTCAAATCAAGCCAGCGGCTGCACCCCCCACACCGCTCAACACACTTTCTCCCGCATGCATAGCGTCAACCGTATCTCAGCTACAGGCCGCTGCAACCGCTGCCTCCCAAAATCCTGCCTCCCCAGCCGTCACCTCCAAAAAACCTTCGGAGGCTTCGATTGGCCAAAGCGATGGCGCAGAGGCAACATCTCCGCTAGCTGGAAGCCGTTATGAGGAACAATCTCCTCCGCAGTGGGCTACAATGGTCGTTTCATCTGCGCAAACAAATACGGCGAGCCTGGGACGAAAGGCTAAACCTATTCCTCCACCTATGAGCGCTGTTGACAGGGATTTGGTGCATCCAACGGCGAAAGAAATAGCGCCAAGCATCACCATTGTTTCGCCACTAAGTGCGCAAAATTCGGCCTCAAGCTTGGCTTTGGATACGGGGAGAAGAGGCGACACGCAAACGATCCTCGCGAAATCAGCTCCGGCACCATCGACGACGACTCTTCTTCTCCCCATCGTTCCCGACGACGACTTCACGGCCAGGGACTCGCATGTTACATTGGCGGAAGAAAGACCGATCGCGCCTTCGCCTATTGGCGGCAAAAGCGCTTTGGAAGTTGATATTTTCCATGAATGCGCAACGGACATGGAGTTTGAAGTCCCGATTTCGGTGGCGGCTTCCGCGGCTCTTACCAGAAACAACGACCCGCTTGTTGCAAAAGCCCCGAAGCCCTTCTTGACCGAGAATGTAACCAGGGTAGCTGTTGGTAATACGTTGGTAAAGCCTTCTGCGCCACCGGCCGAGCCGCTTTGGTTGGAGCATAAGGACGGGCCGATTTGCGTGAAGGCGGTAAGTGACTTATAGTGCTCGCCGAAATTCGGGATTTGCTCTTACCGATTGATGACAGAAAGCACTGTTTGACTACACCGAGCACGGCGAGGACGAAATTTCAATGAAGGCGGGTCAAGAACTTTACATACTTGAAGAAGGTAAAACTTGAGTTGTTTTTTGTTGCTGGCAATGAAATCAGCTTCTTCTTCCATCTTTTGTCTCTCATCTAACATTTCATTTTGCAAGATGACGGGTCCGGATGGGTTTCGGTTCATGACGGCATGCGTGAAGGACTTGTTCCAGCATCTTATCTCGAGAAACGTTGATTAAAAGAAAAACAAGCAAACAGCATTATCTCAAGAAACGTTGATAATATAAACATTGATTATGGAAGCAAATTCATAGTATATTCTAGTTACAGGGTTTCATATACTTCTGTATCTACAAGTGGGTGATGACATCGCCAAATTTCTCATGGACAGCTTTATAAAATCTGAAAGCGATTAAAGAAATGCTAATAAACGATGATTACCTCTTGAACTCA